AAAGAGAGAGAAGGAAAACATCAACATTAGAGGATGTTGAACTATCTGGTTTCATTAGTTAAAGCTAAAACTGTACGTACTTATTTTGTTATATAAAGTTGAGTTTCTTCCTGGGTTTTTTTTTTTGCTTTGGAAGCCAAACAGCCTTCTGGTGATATTGACAGATTTGGTTTTTATAGTTCCAAAAAGATGGCAGATTTGGAATCTTAAGACATAGTTCTCCTTGAAACCACATTTGTTAAAATGTTTGTGGGAGAAAATTGTGTTTGTTAAAATTATAATTTAAAGTCATGACCAGTTGATTTTACCCTTCAATCCTAGTGATAATTAACTCACCATGACATTATACAGAACTCACTCTATTTCATCATTCTCTATAAACGGACTGCACAGATTTCTTTAAACTTAGCAAATTAGCTAAAAGCACATTTCCTATTGTTAAAATGTATTGCAAGTAAAATAAGGGAATTCTGTAAGAGATTAACTTTAAAAGTCTAGAAATGTCAATGCATTACAGCATGGCTCCCAGCTCTGTATCCTTTAGGTCTAATGCAGATGAGAAAGTTGCTCCCTCTGAAGAGAGATTTGGGATGCTCAAGCCTCATGTGGGTGATGCTTAGGGGCTAGAGAAGAGGAACAAGCAGGCACATGATGGCAATGACCCCTGAGTCTCCAGGCCCTGCTCCCTTTGGACAAGTGTCAGAATCCTGGGGAAGTAGTGGCTCCGATAAAGAGCAGGACAGATCCAAGCTGCAGTCCTGGGATTTCTGTTTGAAATTTGACATCGTGGGGAGGAAGACAATCAAGGCTGCCTTGTAATTTTAGTTTTGGATAGGTGGAATCACAAAAGAAACAAGCCTGTAACTTTAGGGTCAACAAGAGAGGAACATTTTGTAACAGTAAACTGTGGTTCTTTAAGGCTGCTGTAGCGTGGCTTATTCCCATGAGGGGACAAATTGGGTATGGCCATCTGGAAATTGAGAGGTAATGTGGGATGGGGAGAAAATGGCCATTTGCAAGATGCCCCAGGGATTTTTCACTCTCTGAGCCAAAGAGAGGGAAAGAATGACAGGCCCATAGTTTCAGAGATCCAACTCCTGGAATCAAACACAGATTTCTCTGTTGGAGTTTTGATGACCTTTCATACTCCAGGGTCATCGACAACTTTACTCGTCAGATTTACTGTTGTTTATAAGGTAACACTGACTTGTAGTAGAGCTCCAACGTTCTCTCCAAAATTCACAGAGAGAGGCACCAGTAAATAATTAACTTGGTTGCCAAGGGAACAGTTTCCTAAGTGGACTGAAGACAGTCACTGAGACAACCTTCACATGTCCTGGCCAATGGAGGCTAGAGGCAGACAGTGACCAGATAAGCGGACTTCCATGTAGATCTTTGGGCAAGGAATGAGTACGTGATTTTAGGGCCAAGGAAGCAAATCAATACTTTCTTTGTCATAACTAACAGGCTACCCTGGAGAACAGAGCTGCTGGCAGAAGCTCGGGACCTCTGGGAAGCTGGGAAGCCTAAGGAGCTTTCTGTCATCCTCACTGTAAGTGTGAGAGAACCACAAATTTCCCTCAAAGTACACCAAACTTGAATTAAGCTGCTATTGCTTAACATTGCAGTTCAATGGGGAGAGATTTTTAATGTCTATCTGGATAGGCAGTCTTTGAGTTTAATCTTTTTTATTTTTCAACAATTCGAGATGTACAGAAAAGTTGCAAACATAATACAGAGAATTCTTATAAACCCTCTACTGTTTATCCAGATTCACTTTTCCACATTGGCTTTATCACTCCCGGTTCCATCTGTCTGTCTATCCCTCCACCTATTTTTAGTCTATCTGTCTATCTCCATCCATCCACTCCTCCATCGAATCTGCCTACTGCTCCATCCGTCCATCCATCCGTCATCTATCTATATAAAATCTCATAGATTACATCCCTCCCCTCCAACTGCATCCAGTGACTATTTTATGAATTAGAGAACATCCACTTATATACCCAGAATACAATGATCAAAATCAGGATACGATGCTATTACCTAACCAACAAACCTTGATCAACTTTCACCTATTGACTACTGCTGTTCTTTACAATCAAAGTGGGAAAAAGCCCTCAGGTCTGGGATCTAATCCGGGATCACACATTATGTTTTGCTGTCCCCTTAGTCTCCTTTAATCTGGAACACTTCCTCTGTCTTTCTTTGTCTTCCAGAGTTGACATTTTTGAAGCATACAGACCATTTCTTTTGAAGAATGTTCCTCAATTTGGGTTTGATTGATGTTTCTTCCAGATTATAGGTTCCGGTTCTGGATTTTGGCAGGAAAGCCATAGAAGTGATACTGTGTTCTTCTTGCATTATATCAGGAGGCCCATGATATCTGTTTGTCCGACAACTGGTGATATGAATGTTAATCACTCAGTTAAAATTACCATTATTTATTTTAATATTCAAATGTCCCAGATTTGGCCAGTGGAAGCCCCTTCAGCCTGGTCATTGTGGTTTGTGACATGTCCCATAATTTTTTGAGCAGTTTATAACTTCCTAAAATAGAAAGATATCCCAGCCTCAGCCCTAAAATTAGCTATTTCTCCAAAGACTCATAATTCCTTTTACTGGAAAATATTTAGAAACAAGATCTTCATGTTGCATGCTGGGTGTGATCAACGTGTGTGTGCATGAGTGAGGACATATGTGTTCATTTATAAGATAGCAATATAATTAGTTTCACTTATTTTTGTGTATACTCTTGGGTTTCTATCTTTATTGATTTTATATATTTATATTTTAAGCATTTGAAATATAATATGGTTCTAGAAGTCAAAACTATCACAAATATATAGTTAGAGAAACGTCACTCTCCCACATCCCTTCTATCCTGTTCCTATTACCAATTTTTTCTGCCCTGTTTCCAACCACCACCACCCATCGTAACCAATCTAATTATTTTCTCTTTTATTCTTCTTATGTTTTACTTTGCAGAAAGGAACAGATATAGAAATATCTTTTCCCTTATTTCTTACCTAAAAGGCACATAGTATAGATACTATTTTTCTTTTTCCACTTAACAGAAAATACTGGAAATCACCCCATATCAGTTCAGAGAGACAGTCTCTGTTCTTTGTCATAGCTGTGTAGTACTCCATTGTATGGAGGTTTTCAATTATTCTCTGATGTTCAGCTACATAGTTGTTTTTTTCAAACATTTTTCAGTTACAACAAATACTTCACAGAATTACCTTGTGTGTAAGTATTTTCTTATTTTTGGAGGTAACTCTAGAGGTGGAATTACTGGCACAAATAGAAAATGTACATACAGTATCTTTAGATATTGCTAAATATCCCCAGTTTGCATTCTTACCATTAACGTATAAGATTGCCTGTTTCCCGCAGCCCTTCCAAAAGCCTGTGCTGATCTACTTTTCAATTTTCAGCAACTTAAGTGAAAAGTCTCTTAATACAGTTTTAATTTGTATTTCTCTAAATATGAATGAGGTTGAACATCTTTTCATATGTTTAAGGATATTGTGTCTTTTACCCAACTTTCCATTGAGTACATGCTTTTTCAAAACTTTCCTGTGAATTGCATTTTCCCTTCCATTTGCCAGGCAGAAGCTAGAAGTTATACATTTGCTTAACACTCATCTTGCCCCTTGATTTTTTCATCATAAAATCTTATCTACAGTAATTTTAGTTCTTGATATGGCAGTGTTCACAGTGAAATTTTAATAAGGCTGTACATTTATAACCTGTACACCTTTAAAAGGCCATTTTTAAAAGTTTTAATTGATTAAATTCTGTATCAAAGTATCACTGTCCTGCTTGTTTAATGCAAACCTAATGATTCCCAAAATCATTCCCGGGCAGCACTGACATGGGATTAAAAGAAAAAAGTGACCCTCTGAAGAAGGGGTTCTAGGAGCACATACTTGAAGGGTAATTCCACAACACAACACAATACATACACACACACAGGGCCATCCTACCCCCTCTCCCACCATGGTGCCCAGTCCCACCACCCTCCAAGACCTTGCCAAAAATTGCCAGGCTGAGATAGATCTTCCCAACTCACCAACTAGCAGAAAATATTCATCCAGTGGACAGCCATAGAATCCCTGGTTTTAAGATTTTGCCTGCAATCTCTTCTTTGCCCCCAACAAGTGACGCCCCTGAGATTCAAGCCTCATCTTCTCCATAACTTGCAAGGGTAGGAGGAGGAAATAGGCAATTAAGTCATTAAATGTTATGACCTACTAAAAGAAAGGCTCCGATGGCCTTGGATCTTCTCACCCTTCTCAACACCCTATACCCTAGACAGCTGTTGTGACTCGAGGTGCCTTCTCCCCTCCCTTCAGCCTCCAAAATCTCTTTGGTGTGGGAGAGATTGATAATCCAAATAAAACCTCCATGGGAGGGTGAATGGATGAATTTTTAAAAGTTACTTGTCTATTTGCTGCAGCTCTCAGGACAACCCAGGCGGGAGGGAGAATTAGTGCCACCTGGAGAGCTGTCACGCTGCTGGCCTGAGGATGGCCCAGCCTCTCACGTGGAATGGCCCCCAGCAGCCTGGGGAGTCCCCGAGCAGACGAGCTGGGGAGGAGGTGTGGGGCAGATGGCGACGGTAGCTGTTGGGAAGGAAGGCTAAACAGTGTGGGCAGAAGTCAAAGATAAACTTCCATCCTCCTCATTCTCTCCCCACGTAACAGCCAAAAGATGCTGGTTATTTCAAGGAGTTTCCAAGAATGGCATTTGATGTATATCACGACCTTCCCAGGGAAGCTGGGGACGAGGCATCAGAGTTTCCTCTCCTCTCCCCAACAGAGACATCCCAGCACATGCAAAGGCCCCACCTGAAGTCACCATAAACACACACACACACGCACACGCACACGCACACGCACACACACCCCTTCTTTCTCACTGAGAAAGAAGTTGGCAGTAGAAGCCATTCCACTTGCAAGAACGAATGTCCTAGACCCAGCGCTGTCTGAGGATCACTGGCTGATAGTCCGACCCCAGTCTCTGATGGTGTGCTGGACTTTCCACACTCGCATGGTACAGGTCTGGAGCACAAGCACGTGGCTACCCAAAGGGTCCTTCTTCATCTCCAGACGCCACTTGGTATCCCTGTTTATGACAGCTCCTCCCTGGAGGGGAAGAGAGACAGAGCCAAGGTGCTGAAATGCCTCAGTAATTCATCATCTTTAGGGGCCCCTCAGTGCTCCGCAAGTCTCGCAGGGAAGAAAAGGAAGCAGAATACAGGATGAGATCATTCAGTGCTTCCTCTACCAGCCTCATGGCAAACTGACCAACCAGGCGCTGTTGCACTAGCTTCGTGTGATGCCCTCAGCCCCTCCTGAGACAGAAGCGTTGGGTCGGTACTCACTACCATGAAATGATGGCCTCTGTGAGAACCGTGGGCCTTCGCAACTTGGCCCTCCTTTCCACATCCTCACCCCTGAGCCCATGAGACCCATCAGGGTCACCTTCACCTTGTGCTTCCCTCCCTCCTCAGGGAAACTATGTTGTGCACCTGGAGCAGGAGCCACATTGAGAAATCTCAGCCTCTGAGGAAGCTTCCAGCCTCTCCTGTTGAGGGGGCATCACCAAGGTTTATGACTGAGAACACGATAGGCTTTAGTGCTAAAAAGTCAGGGTTGAATCCTTATTCTACCACATACAAACCGTGTGGGCCTGGACAAACTACCTCTCTCCAAGTCTCAATGTCTTCATCTCTAAAATGGGTTTAGAGTTCATACTAAAGTTAAAATTAGAGTTAATGCTGATGGAGCATCTTGGGCCTGACACATGAAACGGGCAACAAAACTTAGTTCATCTCTGCCACTCCCCATCCTAACAAGGGAAGAGAAACAAAGGGCCATCCTTCTCTTAGATCCTATGTGATCCCCACAAACTCCCTGAGCTTCTTCCCCCTTATCTTCATATCTAAGCAACTGACAGTCCTGCCATCTGTCCAAACCACCATCTCTCCTGGTCCTGCCCTCTGCTCCCAGCCCTCTCTCTCTACATCCCTCTCAACCCCTTTGCAGGATTCACATGAGCTGCATTCGTGCCTGGGTCAGGCTGTATCTTCTTTATGCCCTGCACTCTGCTATCATCCTCAGGGTTCATAACATTCATTCTGACGGTGCGTGAGAAACCGTGACCTGACTGTTCCCCTTCGGACAAACTGCCACCAACTTATTGAACACCAAGAGGGACTGACTGCAGCTGTAAAATCTCCAAATTTCTGCTTCCTCTCTCACCATCACGTCCCTGCTTCTCATCTCTTCTAATCACAAAGTGCCTCCAACAGCCCTTGCGCCTCTAAAATTTTCCCGTCATTGGACTCCCCCCGGCCCCAACCACCCTTGCCTCCTCTGGGCACCCATCCAGCATTGGCCATTCAGGGCAGCTCTTCAGATTCTGGAACTTCTCCTCCACCACTGCCACCACTCCTCTCTCAGTCCCTGCTTCCAGACCACAGAGCTCTCATGGACAGGGTCTGCCAGCTGAGCCGGTCTGGCTCATAAACCTGCCCACAGCAGCCTGGCCTCAGCACTCGGCTTACACCTCAGGGTTCCTCGTCCAGGCCTCCTCAGCATGCTTTGTCTGTCAGCCCCCCACCCCAACACTCACTTTAACAAAATGTCAAGAACACCACACTTCTAGTCGATCCTCACCTCCCCTGCAAGATATCAGCGATCCTGAAGACACCGCCTCACAGACGATCTCAAAGGAGCCACCCCATGCCTGCCTCATCTGCCAGCAGCCCCCTCTGTTTTTGAGCCCCAGCCATCTCGATGCTGAAGAAACACTTCCTAACATCCATCTTGTAGCTCTCCCTCTTTGCCAGTTCCTTTACTACTGCCTTTAAATATGTCCAAATGTCACAATATTAGAAGGACAAAATAAACCCAGCCCTTAACTCTACCCTCCCTTTCAACCAACATTCAGTGTTTTTCTCCCTTTCAGAATCAAATTCCCAAGCAACAAGGCAATAGCACACAGCAGTTAAGATTCCGCATTTGAATGGCGGGTGTTTACTACACTGTGCAATAATTGGATTCCTCGGTGCTCTAGTTACTTCACGGGCGAGATGGAGCTAGTGATCATATTTCTCCTAGAAGACACGTTTTAAAAGAACTGAGGCCGGGCGCGGTGGCTCAAGCCTGTAATTCCAGCACTTTGGGAGGCCGAGGCAGGTGGATCACGAGGTCAAGAGATCGAGACCATCCTGGTCAACCTGGTGAAACCCCGTCTCTACTAAAAATACAAAAAATTAGCTGGGCATGGTGACGTGTGCCTGTAATCCCAGCTACTCAGGAGGCTGAGGCTGGAGAATTGCCTGAACCCAGGAGGAGGAGGTTGCGGTGAGCCGAGATCGCGCCATTGCACTCCAGCCTGGGTAACAAGAGCGAAACTCCGTCTCAAAAAAAAAAAAAGAACTGAATGAGATCATGTTTAGCCCAATGCCTAGTGCACATAGGTATTTCAATAACTCTTGGTAATTATAATTTATTGTAACCTTTTAGACAAAGTCAGTGGCCTATTTTCTATTTCTGCTCGACTTCCATGTGGCATGAGCTTTGACGATGTTGCACACATCCGCTAGTTTCTTTCACATTGTTTTCATCCGGATCTTACACATTTTTGTTTTGCTTTTTTTTTTTTTTTTTTTGAGAGGGAGTCTCGCTGCATCACCCAACCTGGAGTGCAGTGGCGCAATCTCGGCTCATTGCAACCTCCACCTCCCATGTTCAAGCGATTCTCCTTCCTCAGCCTCCTGAGCAGCTGGGATTACAGGCGCCTGCTGCCATACCTGGCTAATTTTTGTATTTTTAGTCAAGACGGAGTTTCACCATGTTGGCCAGGCTGGTCTCAAACTCCTGACCTCGGCCCGTGATCCGCCTGCCTAGGCCTCCCCAAGTGCTGGGAATACAGGCGTGAGCTACCACACCCAGCCATTTTGGTTTTTGTTTTGGAGTGTTGCCTGTCCAAATGATGTTGAAGGGCAAAAGGTATTTTTAAAAGATTTTTGTTTTTGTTTCTCTTTCAATTTTACAAAAATAATAGATACTTCTTTAACTTGGAAAATATATTTGAAAAATATATATAACACTTTAAAATATATGACCAGGGCTCAGGGCACATGGGGGGCGCCGGCAGGTGAGGTGGGCATGGAGCAGCTACTTTGAGATCATCTGTGAGGTCATGTCCTCAGGATCACTGATGGCTTTCAGCGGGTCAGGAGGGGATGATTGACTAGAAATATATTTATAAAAAATGTATTTTAAAATATTTTATATATAAAGTACATAAAAGCACTCATAACAAGACAACATTGTATATGTGGTCTTTACATCTTGCTTCCTTATATAAATTTAATATTCCATATACATCTTTTTCAGTTTTATTAATTTTTTGAAAGAGATTGTTTCAGAATATTATTTGAGTGGCTCTACAATATTCAGTTCAAGAGATGAGCAAAGCATGCCCGACTGTTGGACCTTTACATTTTCCTAGTGTTTCACTGTGATAATTATTAAGATATTTTCCACATTAATACTGGCTCATATTCTATACTATCCGTAAGTAAAGATATTGTCCTAAAAAAGAATTAGTGCCTTAAAAAGAGCTGCAGTTAGTTTGGGTTCTGAGGAGTGTGGGGTTTTCCTACACGTGGGCAAGTTGCTTCTGGAGCCATGCCAGGCTCCATGCTTACGAGCGGTGCGTGGGAGCACTCCCTCCACACTTCCTCTTTCCCCGCACTTCCAACCTCTTACCACGAGTGCTCTCCTCCTCCTCACTACTCACTACTGTTCTTAGAGATCCTCTTTGTATTGTGAGCTATTGCTTCACCCTGAAGACGGGTGACTTTCCCCAAATCCCCCCTTATTTCAGTGGCATCACTATCTCAACACTGTGCAACTGAACTAAACGTTCATATGTCTGAATAGGCCTTCTCTTCTTAAACTGGGTCCCCTCTCCATCACTGGCTCTCTTGTGAGTCACAGGGGCCATAGCCTCGTCTGGTATACCCAAAACACAGAACCAAGAAATCAAAGAAAACAAAGGGATGATCTAGTCTCATCTCCCTCTCAATATTGGAAAATTCCTTTGGTAACTTTTTAGATTGATTTGTAAGTTGTGCCTACAAAGTAAAGTGAGAACCAGAAGAGCCCAACATTCAATCAAGTATCATTTTCATATCTGAAAAAAGTGTAGACCTAAGAGGTAAGATGGATGGAAAGAGATCAGATGGAGTGAACTCATTCAAGACTAACTCAATATTAGGTAACACACCAGAAATTGTATGATCACCTCCCTTTTTACTTTCATAGTTCTTGACATAGTGGCCATAGAAAAGGACCCAGCCTGCATGTTAGGATGGTTGGCAGAAATGCCCTGGATGTCCTGCCTTCCAGATCTCACAATCCTATCTGCCAACCCACATGTCTTTGCTATCAGTGGCCTCAGTCAGCTGAGAAGGCGATCTTCCAAAATTTTCTTGGCAAGGAAACCTTCAAAATGTTTGGAATGCATAATTATTTATTTAATAACGGTAGGCTGTTATCATGAAAAGAAAAAACAGAAAAAAAATGTGAAAAAAATGGGAATAAAATTGTATCTAAAAATATTATTTCTTTAGAATACATTGTATCTTTAACTCATGGGAGATTTAGGATAAAGTAAAGATATTAAGGGAATCAAATACATAGTACTTGCCAAAGATTCTGTGTATATTTACTTGTATATAAAGAAAAATTGGCATCTTACAGATTAATCTTGCGATAGCAATTTTAAAATGTGTCATTGAGTAATTAAATTGGTGACTTGGTGAAATTTTTCACTGACTTTATAAACATTTCCGAAACATTTAAGAGAACTTAAGAATTGATCAATTTAAAGTCAGATCACTGAAGTTCTTAAGAAATTGAATGTATTAAATTTGTTAATACAGTTCACAATGTTTAATGGCATTTAACTTATTAAATTTTAAAAATCCTCTTGTCAAAAGTTATCAGGCTTATAGATAAAATAATAAGATTTGTAAGCTGAACTTAAAAAAGAAAAGAAAGAGAAACCATGATTCTTTCAACACTCCTTTGAACCAGGTACCATGCTAAATGCTTTACACACATCTCATTACATTTTTAAATTTATAACTTATAATTTTGAATTTATAACTTTGTAAAAAAAGTGAATACTAATTTTTTAAAACAAAGTAAATTTGTAGTAGTTTTCTTCACATGAACACAAAAGTATGACTAAGGACATCAAAAACTCATATTTAGAATACAAGGAGAGGTGCTCAGACATGCTGTGCTTGGTGACTGCCATTGATGGGGAACTCACCACCATGCTAAGCAGCCTGTTCTTCTGTAGGAAACCTGAAGCTCTGGGGCCTTTAGAAAGCCCTCCCCTTGCTCCTACATAAGTCAAAATCTGCCTCCTTAATCTTTATCTATTGGTCTCAGTTCTGCCCTCCTGCAACACTAAACTAATCTACTCCCTCTTCCTCAGGAAGACAGCATCATCTTTTCTCTATCCATAGGCCTAACAAGCCTTTCAAGCTCTATCTCCAGGCCTGCCAATCTTTCATTTGCTCTGCAACCATTTGTGGAGTGCCTGCCATGTTCTAGGGCTTGTGCCAGATGCTTGAGAGAAAACAGCAAACCCCAGGCCCTGCCCTCCAGCTCACAGCCAAATGACAAAAAGAAGCAAGAGATGGTGAGACTAGGGCTATAAAAGGGCCCCTGAGAGCACATACAGGAACCACTTGCCCGGCTCCTATGGAGTCACAGACGGTTTCCCAAGGGAGATGATGTCTAAGGCCAGGGGAACACTTTGTAGTTGGCCTGGTGAAGAAGTGGGAGGAGAGGGAATAATACCCGCAAAAAGGCCTAAGGTAAGAGGGAGCCTGGACTTTCACTGAATTACCTATAGTTCCATATAATTGGAGCTTAAAATGAGACATCAGAGACTGAGAAGACATTACCCTGCCTTCTTCTAATCTATACTGTCTGGTTCAGGAAAGCTTAATCTGGAATGAAAAAAAAAAAAAAAACCTCTGAAACTGTAAGCAAATCTTGCACATAGGTTCACATGTATATTTTCCTGGAGAGAGAGTCCATAGTTCACAACGAATTCTCAAAGGGGGCGTTAGCTTTGAAAAGTTAGAGACTGCTGAACTAGATTGTCCATGTGGCACCTGAATAAAGCACAGTCCTACATTCAGAGGCATGGTCACAGACAGACCAGTAGCTCCCTCCGGGAGATACTGTCCCTTCCTACCGAATTGGCCCAGGAGCGCAGAAGCTTTTGGAGCAACCCATCCATTGTCAATTCCCCATAGATTGCAGTCAGCCAAGACCCTTGCGTCATCATCATGAACATCTGCCAGATTCCTTCCACCCTGTCCTTTGTCATTTGGTGTTGAAGTTAAAGGCAGAGCTCCCATACTAGCTCCTGTCAGATTTCAGCCTGGTGTTCCACATTTTCTGATAATTATTAATAATAAATGGATCGCAATGGCTAATGCATATTGAACACTCCTCTGCTCCAGGCAGCACGATAAATACTTTACACACGCTTTCTCATTTAATCCTCTCAACACTGGCCTACAGAAGATATTATCTTCTCCATCATTTTATAATGAGGAAGCTGAGCTTCAGAGAGGGTAAGGAACTTGCTATAGGTGACTGAGCTAAGACGTGGGCCCAAACTCTCAACTGTTCCACTACAACAGATTCCAATATTTCTTCTCCTTAACCACCCCTGCCTTAGTCAAGAGACTCAGTGTTTCATACCCAGTTTCTTATTTCCAATCTTTTCCCTACCTGTTGCCACAAGAAGTAGTTCTCCTAAAACACTATCAAATCAAATCTGAACCTCTCATATATCTGTCCTTTAAAAAACATGTTTAACTCGCTGGACTTGCGCCTTGTAATCCCAGCACACTGGGAGGCCGAGACAGAGGGATCACGAGGTAAGGAGTTCAAGACCAGCCTGGCCAACATGGTGAAACCCAGTCTCTACTAAACATACAAACACGTGGTGCCATGTGCCTGTAATCCCAGCTACTCGGCAGGCTGAGACAGGAGAATTGCTTGAACTGGGACCCGGGAGGCAGAGGTTACAGTGAGCCATTGCACTCCAGCCTGGGCTACAGAGCGAGACTCCATCTCAAAAAAGAAGAAAAAAAAAAAAGGCCCACCATCGCCCCCGAGCGCGCGGCCGGCTGTCGCGGGGATGCGGAGGGGCGGCGACAGGGGCGGGACCCTGCGGGGACAGCTCCGCGCTCCCTTCGCTTTCTTCGCCCGCTTGTTCCCTCCTCCCTCGGCAGCCGCGGCGGCGGCGGCGGCGGCGGCGGCGACTGGGGATCAGACATGGTGGCGGATCTGAACCTGGAGTGGATCTGCTCCCTGCCCCGGTCCTGGATCACCAGGGGTGGCCGAGTCTTCTTCATCAACGAGGAGGCCAAGAGCACCACCTGGCTGCAACCCGTCACCGGCGAGGCCGTGGTCACCGGACACCGGCGGCAGAGCACAGATTTGCCTGCTGGCTGGAAAGAAGCATATACCTTTGAAGGTGCAAGATACTATATAAACCATAATGAAAGGAAAGTGACCTGCAAACATCCAGTCAGGGGACAACCATCACAGGACAACTGTATTTTTGTAGTGAATGAACAGACTGTTGCAGCCATGACATCTGAAGAAAAGAAGGAACGACCTGTAAGTATGATAAATGACGCTTCTAACTATAATGTGACTTCAGATCATGCGGTGCATCCAATGAGCCCTGTAGGCAGAACTTAATGAGCTTCAAAAAAAGTTCATAATTTTGGAAAGAGGTCAAATTCAATTAAAAGGAATCCTAATGCACCGGTGGTCAGCCGAGGTTGGCTTTATAAACAGGACAGTACTGGCATGAAATTGTGGAAGACACGCCTGTAATCCCAGCACTTTGGGAAGCCAAGGCGGGTGGATCACGAGGTCAAGAGATCGAGACCATCCTGGTCAACATGGTGAAACTCCATCGCTACTAAAAATACAAAAAATTAGCTGGGCACGGTGGTGCGTGCCTGTAATCCCAGCTACTCAGGAGGCTGAGGCAGGAGAATTGCCTGATCCCAGGAGGCGGAGGTTGTGGTGAGCCAAGATCGCGCCATTGCAGTCCAGCCTGGGTAACAAGAGCGAAACTCCATCTCAAAAAACAAAAAAAAAAAAGAAAGAAATTGTGGAAGAAACGCTGGTTTGTGCTTTCTGACCTTTGCCTCTTTTATTACAGACATGAGAAAGAAGGGTCTCCTGGGAAGCATGCTGTTACTAGTTTTCAGATAGATTTGCTTACCTCTGAAGATCACATTAATCACAAATATGCTTTTAAGGCAGCCCATCCAAACATGCGGATCTATTATTTCTGCACTGATACAGGAAAGGAAACGGAGTTGTGGATGAAAGCTGTGTTAGACGCTGCCCTAGTACAGACAGAACCTGCGAAAAGAGTGGACAAGATTACATCTGAAAATGCACCAACTAAAGAAACCAATAACCTTCCCAACCATAGAGTGCTGATTAAACCAGAGATCCAAAACAATCAAAAAAACAAGGAAATGAGCAAAATCAAAGAAGAAAAGGCATTAGAAGCTGAAAAATATGGACTTCAGCAGGATGGTCAAGATAGACCCTTAACAAAATTGATAGTGTAAAGTTGAATTCTCTGCCTTCTGAGTATGAGAGTGGGTCAGCCTGCCCTGCTTAGACTGCACACTACAGACCAGTCAACTTAAACAGTTCCGAGAACAAAATAGTCAGTGTTAGCCTGGCAGATCTTAGAGGTGAAAATCACCCCAGTACAGGGCCCTTATACAGAGGCTGATGGAGTCATACAGGGAACAAATTCAGTGCAGCAATTGGAAGAGTGGATTAACATCCAGAAGGGGAGGAGTCATGAAGAAGAAAGCAGGGGAGTAATTTCTTACCAAACATTACCAAGAAATATGCCAAGCCGCAGAGCTCAGATTATGGCCCACTACCCTGAAGGTTACAGAACACTCCCAAGAAACAGCAAGACAAGGCCTGAAAGTATCTGCAGTGTAAACCCTTCCACTCATAACAAGACATCAGGACCTGGAGCAGAAGAGAAATGAGGTTCATGAGAGATGACACAATGTGGCAGCTGTACGAGTGGCAGCAGCATCAGTTTTATAACAAACAGAGCACCCTCCCTCGACACAGTTCTTAACCCAAAACCATGGTTAATATTTCTGACCAGACAATGCACTCTATTCCCACATCACCTTCCCACGGGTCAATAGCTGCTTATCAGGAAGACTCCCCTCAACGAACTTACAGATCGGAAGCATCTTCACCAATTCAGAGAGGAGATGTGACAATAGACCTCAGACACAGGGCCCATCACCCTAAGCATGTCTATGTGCCTGACAGAGGATCAGTGCCAGCTGGACTGAACTTTATAGTCTGTTAGTCCCCAGAGCCTCCAAGGGAAAACGCTGTCACAAGATGAAGGCAGAGGCACATTATACAAATACAGACCCGAAGAAGTAAATATTGATGCCAAGTTAAGCCAATTATGTGAACAAGATAAAGTGGCGCGTGCTCTGGAAGAGCAACTTCAGCAGCTCCACGAGGAGAAATACACGCTTGAGCAAGCTTTACTATAAGCCAGCCAAGAGATAGAAATGCAGGCAGATAACCCAGCAGCCATTCAGACAGTGGTGTTACAAAGGGACGATTTACAAAATGGACTGCTTAGTACATCAAGAAGTTCTCCAGCCACTGCCGAATTGGAACGAGCATGGAGAGAATATGATGAGTTAGAACACGACGTGACTATTACCAGGAAGCAGATGCAAGAGCAGCTAGATCACCTTGGTGAAGTTCAGACGGAATCAGCAGGAATTCAGCGAGCACAGATTCAGAAAGAACTTTGGCGAATTCAAGATGTCATGGAAGGACTGAGTAAACACAGCAGCAAAGAGGTACTACAGCAATAGGTATGGTAGGACCAAAGCCTTTCTCAACAGTTAAGTACAAAAATGAGGGTCCAGATTATAGACTCTACAAGAGCGAACCAGAGTTAACAACAGTGGCAGAAGTTGATGAATCTAATGGAGAAGAAAAATCAGAACCTGTTTTGGAGATAGAAACAGGTGGTTTCTTCAGTTGTTAAAGATTCCCATTTTCCTGTTGGAGTAGCCCCTCCAAGAACAAAATCACCAACACCCAAATCTTCGACAATAGCTTCGTATGTAACCTTGAGGAAAACTAAGAAGATGCTGGATCTAAGAACCCAAAGACCAAGAAGTGCAGTGGAGCAGCTCTGTTTGGCTGAAAGCACTCAACCTAGGATGACTATGGAAGAGCAGATGGAAAGAATAAGAGGACATCAGCAAGCGTGCCTGAGGGAAAAGAAAACAGGATTAAATGTTGTGGTGCTTCAGACCCATCACCTTTACAAAGCTCTTCAAATTTAAGGGATAATCCATTTAGGACTTCTCAGATCTGAAGGAGGGATGATAACGTGAAGGAACCGGACGCTGTCATCAGAGAAAATGATGTAAAAGCCAGACCGCAAAACTCCTGCAGCAGAAATTGTTCAACTAAGAAGATGAACCCCAAAATGTGGACAGCAGCAAAGAGTTTAAAGAAAAACTGAAAATAGTTCATATGAAATGCTTTTTGAACCTGAGCCAAATGGAGTAAATTCTGTGGAAATGATGGATAAAGAAAGAAACAAAGAAAAAATGCCTGAGGATGTTATGTACAGCCCTTAAGATGAGGCACAGATCACAAATTACAAACCAGAAGGCCATCTTAAAGAAAATACAAAGAACAATGTTGATGATCAGGCAGAAAGTGTTATTTCTTACGAATCAACTCCTGAGGTTTCTAGAGGAAATCAGACAATGGAAGTGAAAAGTCTTTCCCCATCTCCTGAGTCCTCAGCATCGCCTGTTCCATCCACTCAGCCACAGCTCGCAGAAGGATCACATTTCATGTGTGTGTAGTCTCAGAAGAACTACACTGACTTCTGTTGAAACCATTCAAAGCTAAAGACGTGGACCTTCAGCAGTGTAAGAAGATAGTGTACAGTATATTTTAAATCTATGAAATTCATAGTTCTGATGCTTTTGGTCACAGAGCATCCTTTTATCACTTCTGGAAAACGTTTATTCCAAAACAGCTTTGATGGCCCGTATGTACATGCCGTAATCTCAAGGTTATTTTTCTGACACCAGCTTGCTGCTATGATTTCAGAGCACATAAGTAAAGGTGCTTTTTAATGTGCAGTCTATTGCCGGAGCTTACTTAGTTGCTGATTTCCAGATTTAGATGTTTCTTAAGTCTAGGTGAATTTATATATATATATATATATTTTTTTTTTTTTGCTTTTCATTTTCTAAAGTTAGTTATTATTTCCAATGAAGCTTGTTTTCCTTTTTTTTTTTTTCTTCCCATTTTGGCTACTGCAGTGCTTTCGTTTCACGCTTGATTTGTAAAAATTATATATATATATAACATGCCATTTTATTGCTAAGTGAAGTATGTCCTGTTTTCTGCTATAATTCTTTCTCGGTCAGATTGCAATGTCTGCAGTTACTGCCACTCTACTGTCAGCTTAAACACAAATGTTATCACTTATCTTTTCTTAAAAAAAAATTTTAGGGCTGGGCGCGGTGGCTCAAGCCTGTAATCCCAGCACTTTGGGAGGCCGAGTCGGGTGGATCATGAGGTCAAGAGATCGAGACCATCCTGGTCAACATGGTGAAACCCCGTCTCTACTAAAAATACAAAAAATTAGCTGGGCATGCTGGCACGCGCCTGTAATCCCAGCTACTCAGGAGGCTGAGGCAGGAGAATTGCCCGAACCTAGGAGGCAGAGGTTGCGGTGAGCCGAGACCGTGCCATTGCACTCTGGCCTGGGTAACAAGAGCGAAACTCTGTCTCAAAAAAAAAAAAAAATTTTCAAGTGTAGGTATTTTGAAGCACTGGGCTTATGCTTCATTGGAATATGTGTGTAGAGCCATAAGCAGGTTTTCAAAGCCAGTACTTACTTTGTGTACAAATGTAATTATGTTCATCATGTATATATTACACAATGAGCACATGTAATGTATTAAAGGCTACTTACTATTGTTAAAAAAAAAGATAAAGAAAGAAAAAAATCCATGTAGCTCACCTGTTTAAAATCCCAATGTATGTGCAGTCCATTCATAGCTGCCTTGGAGCATGGTTCTAAGGTGGGCTTCTCCTCTGCCTTGCCAGGATCTGTCAGGCAGCCATCACTATCACTGGCCTCTGCAATCAGTTGTCCCACAAAAAGCTCCCCAGTTAGGTGATAGTAGTTGTACTAAAAGAGAGCAGTGGACTCGCCATTGGCATCAGCAGCCAGCAGGAGACCCTAGCCAGAGGGAGGGCAGGAAGACTGATCTTGGAGCCCCTAGACATCCAGTCTCACCAGGAGCACTGAACCTTCCCGGACAACACGAAGCCACTTCTGCTTCCCTCTACTCCTTAGTCTCCCCTTGAATCCAGGGAGAAGACCAGGCCTAGGAGGGCTCCAATGGAATCATAGCTTACATGGATGAAGAAGCTTGTCTCTGAAGAAAAACCAAAACTGAACTCCAGAATCTGTCACCAAAGGCCTCAGCTATGGATTTGTCGTCAGAAAATCTTCTTTCAAATTCCTGATTTGACATGACCTTGCTCAATGAGCTTGGACCAGTAGGTTGGTCATGTGTCTCCATTTTTTCATCTAAGTGGAAATGATATCTACCGCGCATGCCTCAAAAGGTTGCTATGAGGGCAGCATGCAGAGTAAGAGGATAGATGTGAATAGCGTATGTTACAAAAAAAAAAAAGTCCCCTGGCTGCACCTTCCACACGGTGCCAGGGCCCTTCCATCCCTTGGAGGAACATCTGCCCAGCCTCTCTCCTCTCTAGCTCTGTTTCCCTCTCTCTAGGAGAAGCACAGGTGGCTTCACCTGTCCGCTTTCCCAGGCATTCAAGACGCAGAGAGAAGATGGAGGGAGCAGTGGGAGGAGGGGAAAAAGGAAGGGACCAGAGGTGACTGCCAATGCAAATATCACCATGGAGAATGAATGTGCGGTTGGTGGAGAAACCGAGAGGGTCCAGGCAAGAGCTACAGTGTTCAAGGGTACTAGAAGCAGAGACAAGGAAAAGAGATGGGGATCGGGGAGCAAGAAACGAAAGGAAACTGAGAGAGTTGAGGGCAAAGAGCTGAGGAGAAAGCCAGGGCAGGAAGGGCGTGTTGTGCGGGACAGGCAATCACATGACTCAGGCTGCATTTTTCTCTACAGTCGAACATGGAAAATCCAAAATGCAATTTCATCATCCGCACCGGTCCATAGCCTATGATGGTGTGCATTGGCTTCAAGAGTGCGTAAACATTTTTCAGGTACCAGTCAAAAGTTTTACACTTCAGGTTTTCCCAGAGTGCCATGCTGGAAGAAACGTCCCCAAAATCTATTCCGGAGTTCTGTAAATAAAACACCAAGTGTTTCTGTGCTTTGATTGATGGGAGCTCTGTTAAAGCAAACCAAGCATGGCCTGGGAAGAACTCTGCATTTCTATATTTGAGTGGATGAATTGCAACCTAACTTAATAGATACACAAGATTGGAAACGTAACTTAGGACCATGCGCCTGTAACAATAGCTGAGTCTTGTCCAATCCCGGCAGCCATACTTCAACCACTCACACACTGTCCAGTGTTCCAGCTGTGTTCAAATAAGGCAAATGTGGAGCGCTAACCAATCCAGCTGTTTCCATACTTCACTTCTGACATCTGTTCGTCACTTCCCTTTTTGTGTCTGTAAATCTTCTTCTACCTCATGGCTGCGCTGGAGTCTCTGAATCTGCTGTGATTCTGGGTGTGGCCCAGTTTGCGAATCATTCATTGCTCAATTAAACCCCTTTACATTTAATTTGGCTGAAGGTTTTCTTTTAACAGCGCCTTAACTCCACCTGTGGGCACGGGTCATACATGATGGAACTGAATATTTTTCTGATAGCCTGTGAAGTAACCTTGATGTTTTCATATTTCCAGGGAAAGTGGGAAAACCTTAAACCCTAGAAAATTCTGCTTTTCCAAACTCTTGCTCTTTTAAAGCCTGCATAGTGGGGCCGCTCAGGTGTATTTCTCCTCATAAGCTAAATTAGACTGCTCCTGTTTGAGATGATATTTACATTAATAAATCCCCAAAGCCTCCTCATGATGGCCAGAAAGGCTCTTGGGGCCAGGCACGGTGGCTCACGCCTGTAATCCCAGCACTTTGGGAGGCCAAGGTGGGCGGATTGCCTGAGCTCAGGAGTTTGAGACCAGCCTGGGCAACATGGTGAAACCTCATCTCTACTAAAAATACAAAAAAAATTAGCTGGGCCTGGTGGTGCATGCCTGTAGTCCCAGCTACCCAGAAGGCTGAGGCAGGAGAATTTCTTGAACTCAGGAGGCGAGGATTGCAGTGAGCCAAGATCGCACCACCGCACTACATACAGCCTGGGCAACAGTGCGAGACGCTCTCTCAAGGATCTTGGAAGGAGTACTCTAATGCCAACATTTGGAGATTAAAAGAGACTTTTTAGAAGTGATATTTTGTGGAGAATCAATGTAAAATAATACTGAAGAGGCAAATTAGAAAAGGAAGGCAGAAACCGCTTGTGTACCTGCCCTCCTCCCAGAATTTTCCTGTGGGGTTCATTTAAGATCATCCCCTTTCAAATTTTAGATCATCCTTTGATGGTTCAATTGTTTTACAGACCATTCTTTGTACAGGTTGGGTCAGTCACAATACGACTCCCTAGAAATAAAAAAACTAAAGATTTCCTGGAGGGTACTTGTTTTCCTAGCATACGTTGGTGTACTGGGACATCAGAATCAATTCTTACCCATCTTTCTTCAAACAATGAGCTAACTGGAGGAAGTTAGGGGCAGCTTGGATTGTGAAAGGAAGGATTTTGCTGACTTTAAAGATGGCTCAGGCATTTCTGCACGTTTTTACACTCTCCAGACCTGGAGATCCCAGTGTTAGCCTGGCTCCTAACCCTAGGAGTCCTTCCACACTTTCTCTTTCAGGTCCATTCATGGCTACCCACCTTCCTGACCCCCTGGCTTTCTGGGGGCTACATCAGAACCCACTGTGATGGAGGAATGAGTTTGTCAATGAGATGACTGCTTCCTGTGGGTCAGCATGGCTCCACATGCTCTAGCCCAGAGCCAGAGCTCAGGGACTTGAGACAGCATAGCATGCCAACCTTAAGCAGCCAGGGTATAAGATGTGGGCTGAGCTAAGAAGGCCATCACTGGCTGGGTGCAGGGGCTAAGACTTTTCATCTCAACAATTTGGGAGGCCAGGAGTTCCAGATCAGCCTGGGCAACATAGCATGACTCTGTCTCTACCAAACAAAGTTTGAAAGAATGCTATCCTCATTCTTGTGCATCCAACAAGATTACAGTGCCTTCTCCTACCATCTCACACCACGCCTGCCATGTTTGTCTCCCATTATAGAAGAGAGATGAAGAACATGGAACTTGGAAGCCAGATTTCCTTGGTTTGAATCTTACCCGCATTACCATAAACAAGTTTCTTTCAACTCTACATGCCTCAGTTTCCTCATCTGTAAAACTTAGAATAATAAAAATAAAACCTATCCATCCCCTACATATGTTGTGATAGCTAATCAGTTAATGTATAAAAGGGTCCAGAATGCAGTACTGTACTGTTACATAGATGTTAAAGCCATTATCACACCATCAGGACCTTACCCTAATCCTTTTTTTCTTTTTTTTTTTTTTTTTTTTTGAGATGGAGTTTTGCTTTTGTTACCCAGGCTGGAGTGCAATGGCGCAATCTCGGCTCACCGCAATCTCCACCTCCTGGGTTCAAGCAATTCTCCTGCCTCAGCCTCCCTAGTAGCTGGGACTACAGGTGTGAGCCACCATGCCCAGCTAATTTTTGTATTTTTTTTTTTAGTAGAGATGGTATTTCACCTTGTTGACCAGGATGGTATGAATCTCTTGACCTCATTATCCACCCACCACAGTCTCCCAAAGTGCTGGGATTATAGGCGTGAGCCACTGCACCCGGCCCTTACCCTAATTCTTTAGGGCTGTGTTGACACTTTTGTTTGTCTCGCCCCATTACGTAACCACCATCTCCTCCTCTTTCATTCTTCCGTGCTGCTGTTCAATTCCATTACTCACCTGGAGAGGTATGTTCCAGGCCAAGTAGACCATGTGTTTGTGCTCATCCATCCGGATTTCGGCCACTCACAGAGCACTGCACTTTAAGGCAGGGGTCAGATCCAAGGCACAAGGCTTGTGCTGTCTCTCTAGGTGACCAATCCAGGAGCAGGGCAAAACCTCGATCTTCCCTCCACACTGCCACACCTGCAGAAGACAAAAAAGATCACCTGTGCTTCACAGTCAGTGAATTGCATAGCTTACTGACACAGGAGACTACATTTTAGAACCAGTTTTAAAGCATGTATATTCAGTCCTCCCACTCCTGTCTTTATATTGCCTCCTATCCTTCTTATCTGACTCATCATTCCTTAGAAGTTTACCAAACTGCTTCTCTCCTGTCATCCAAACAACTACTGAAATCATACTTCCTTCAGGAAGTCTTCCTAAATGGACCAAAGGAGGGGCAGCCTCTGCTCCCTTATCCCCAAGGAAAATGCCCATGTCCTGAGAGGTGCCATGCCCTGAGCCACTCTCACTGCACTGTTTCTCATGCCCCTTCTCTCCTGCATGCTAGACATAGGGCAGTGTGGCAGACAGATGCCAAAGAGACCCTATGATTCTCCTCCTGGTGTCTATGGCCTTGTCTGATCCCCTCCCCTTGAGTGTGGGCCTGTGAACTGCTTATAACCAACAGAATATGGCAAAGATGGCAGGATGTGCTTGATTACACGTATCATGAATAAACTGCAAAATGTAGAGTCCATTTTGCCAAGAGATGCTCTCTCTTGTTGGCTTTGAAGAAGCAAGCTCCCATGTTGTCAGCTAACACACGAAAAGGGAAGACATTAAGAGTGGCTTCCAACTGATACCCAGCATAAAACCGAATGCTTCCTGAGCCTGGAAGACTTTAGGGAACTGAATGCTGCCAATAATAGTGTAAGCTTGAAGGCAGATCTTTCCACACCGAAGCCCAGATGAGAACCCAACTCCGGCTGATACCTTGAGAGCAGCCTTACAGAGGACCCCGCTAAGCTGTGCGTGGATCCGTGACCTGCAGAAACTGTGAGATAATGAATGCTTCTTGCTTTCAAACACTAAGTTTGTGATAACATTGTTATACAGCAATAGGAAACTAATTTGCATAACTTGACCAAAAGATACCATGGCTTATGACCCAATTACAAACATTTGTTTTTACCATCCTAATGGGTACAAAACATACTTGTCAAAACACGCACTCTAATATTGGGCTTAGAAAACATGATCTTCATCTCAGTAGCTAATAGGACTATCTAATCGGATTGAAGTGATGTCTCCTGTGTCTTCTCTTCATGGTTGCCTATGCGAGCTGCAGTTTCTAAGAGGTAATTAGCCCATAGCAGTGGCCGCAACCTACCACGGTCATGCCGAAGGGAGCCCCTGAGATAAGAGTGCGTAGCTTACCTCCCACTGGTTCAGTTAACATATCAAAACAGTGTCCAACTGAGTAGTCAGTCTCATTATCTGACTTTCACATTGTTTTCAACATTTTTCCACTGCTTAAAACCCTAGATTTGCCCTCCTCTGCATCCTATTTCCCAAAATAACGGAGTAAAAAAAGCAAGGCTTGAAATCAGACTGACCTATGTTTAAATTCTGGTTTCATCATTGCACACCTGGCAGCTAGAGTGCTTTGCCTCCTATCCTTCTTATCTGACTCATCATTCCTTAGACGTTTACCAAACTGCTTCTCTCCTGTCCTCCAAACAACTGCTGAAATCATACTTCCTTCAGGAAGTCTTCCTAAATGGACCAAAGGAGGGGCAGCCTCTGCTCCCTCATCCCCAAGGAAAGTGCCCATGTCCTGAGAGGTGCCATGCCCTGAGCCACTCTCACTGCACTAAGTTTCTCAAGACCCTTCTCTGCCTGCACACTAGACATAGGGCAGTGTGGCAGACAGACACCAAAGTGACCCCGTGATGCTTTGCCCCTGGCTGCCAGCTGTGCAATGATGGAGTAGGTTGAGCCCCAATTTATTCATCTGCGAAGAGGGCACAACCACTATTTGAGTTGTCAGCATGAGCTGTCAGCAGGATTAAATGCCATAGCAAGGAATCAGCTACGGCAGGCTCTGAGATAACTTGAGGTACACCTTCTCTTTCATTATCCTTCTCTGGCTCTCCTCACTGGTCCCCAGAATCATGTGGAGGTTACATCCCGCTTGCACTCAGGTATTATTCTTTCTAGCCAAACATTCAAAAATCCAATACAACCGTACTCCAATTTTCCTAGTTGATGAAGGTTTTCAACTCATATAAATTAGGGGCAAAAAATTAACTGTTGGCATTAAAAAAATCTTAAATTCAAGTTAAAAGTCAAGATTGCCTAGGCTGGGTGTGGTGACTCATGCCTGTAATCCCAGCACTTTAGGAGGCTGAGGCAGGCAGATCACTTGAGGTCAGGAGTTTGAGACCAGCCTGGCCAACATGGTGAAACCCCGTCTCTACCAAAAATAGAAAAATTAGCCAGGTGTGGGGTGTGCACCTATAATCCCAGATGCTCAGGAGGCTGAGGCAGGAGAATCACTTGACTGAGAGGCGGAAGTTGCAATGAGCCTAGATCACGCCACTTCACTCCAGCCTGGGGAACAGAGTGAGACTCTGTCTCAAAAGAAAAAGAAAAGATTGCCGTTTATGAAATAATGCTCATAATTAGCTTTCCCCAAAAATTTTCAAACTCTGCTCTTCCAATTTAGTCCCAGTTGCTAAACTCCTTTCATCATTTATCTTTTTCTCTCTCTCTTTCTCACACACACATATAGAGACATTAAGCTTCTCCTGATAATATTACTTTGTGCCATACACTCTCCTAATACTTTCCATAAATTTAATCCTCCCCATGCCGGTATCCCCCTTTAAGTAACCTGTCCATGTTTATCAGCTAGTAAATGACAGAGCTGCACTGTGAACCCAGGCAGTCACATGTTCAGTTCTGGCACAGTGCATGAATACACGAGGTGCTCAACAAATGTTGTTTTGTTGTTGTTGTTTTTGAGACAGAGTTTCGTTCTTGTTGCCCAGGCTGGAGTGCTATGGTGCAATCCCAACTCACAGCAACCTCTGCCTCGTGGGTTCAAGCGATTCTCCTGCCTTAGCCTCTCAAGTAGCTGGGATTACAGGCATACACCACCACACCCAGCTAATTTTGTATTTTTAGTAGAGACGAGGTTTCCCCATCTTGGTCAGGCTGGTCTTGAACTCTCAATCTCAGGCAGTCCGCCCACCTCAGCCTCCAAAGTGCTGAGACTACAGGAGTGAGCCACCACACCCCACCCCATCTCCCTTCTTCTTTTTTTTTGTAATCGCATTTTTAGGTTTTGGGGTACATGTGCAGAACATGCAAGATAGTTGCATAGGTACACACGTGGGAGTGTGATTTGCTGCCTTCCTCCCCTTCACCCACATCTGGCATTTCTCCCCATGCTATCCCTCCCCAACTCCCCCCGCACTGTCCCTCCCCTATTCCCCCCAATAGACCCCAGTGTGTAGTGCTCCCATCCCTGTGTCCATGTGTTCTCATCATTCATCACCCGCCTATGAGTAAGAACATGCGGTATTTCATTTTCTGTTCTTGTGTCAGTTAGCTGAGAATGATGTTCTCCAGATTCATCCATGTCCCTATGAAGGACACGAACTCATCGTTTTTGATTGCTGCATAATATTCCATGGTGTATATGTGCCACATTTTCCCTGTCCAGTCTATCATCGATGGTCATTTGGGTTGGTTCCAGGTCTTTGCTATTGTAAACAGTGCTGCAATGAACATTCGTGTGCATGTGTCCTTATAGTAGAACGATTTATAGTCCTTTGGGTATATACCCAGTAATGGGATTGCTGGGTCAAATGGAATTTCTATTTCTAGGTCCTTGAGGAATCGCCACACTGTCTTCCACAATGGTTGAACTAATTTACACTCCCACCAGCAGTGTAAAAGTGTTCCTATTTCTCCACATCCTCTTCAGCATCTGCTGTCTCCAGACTTTTTAATGATCACCATTCTAACTGGCATGAGATGGTATCTCAATGTAGTTTTGATTTGCATTTCTCTAATGACAAGTGATGATGAGCATTTTTTCATATGTTTGTCGGCCTCAGGTACGTCTTCTTTTGTAAAGTGTCTGTTCATATCCTTTGCCCATTTTTGAATGGGCTTGTTTGTTCTTTCTTGTAAATCTCTTTTAGTTCTTTGATATCAAGTAAATTCTTGATATCAGCCCTTTGTCAGATGGGTAAACTGCGAAAATTTTTTCCCGTTCCGTTGGTTGCCAATTCACTCTAATGACTGTTTCTTTTGCTGTGCAGAAGCTGTGGAGTTTGATTAGGTCCCATTTGTCTATTTTGGCTTTTGTTGCCGATGCTTTTGGTGTTTCTTAACTTTTCCTGCCCATCATCTCCATTTACACACATTAATGAGCCCCATCCCTGACATGGCCACTAGATGTCAGAATAAAGCACTCCATGGAGCTCTGATGTCCAAGATCTACTACTGGATAAAGATCTTAATAAGTGCTTAGACATTTTAAAAGGCATATATTAACACACAAACCAAGAAGCTGGATATAAGCAGAACTGCTTGATCCAAGAAAAAAGGGTGACTGTATAATCCAATAAAAGTCAATTTTTAAGATTACAAAATATTAAAGAAATAGAATTTCTTATAGAAACTGAAATGGCAGTGTTCTATGTGTATTTGAGAGAATGAAAACAGAGAGACTCAGCTTAGATGTGGAAGAGGAGAACAAAGCATAAGGAACTCAGAAATAATAACAGCTTTGGGTCCTAAGTTGAAGAATTGGGGTTCCAGCCAAATTCACCTAAAGCTCTGGTAGATAAGAAAACCCAGCCACAAAGTCTGGGGTCACCCTCAAGACTTTGCTAAGTATCATATGTAAGTAATTCTTTTTGCATTTGTATTTTGTATGTTAGAGACTACGTGCACTCCTGATGTCTATTCTGCTCTACATCTACAATTACAGAACAGACATCTGGGCACATAACCCACTAACTAAAGTCTAAACTTCCCAGACTCCTTTGCACACAGGTGTGGCCATGTGACTAGGTAATGATCAATAGAATGTGAAAAGAAACAATATACACAACTTTCAGATAGTGCTCTTAGAAAGAAAGAGCTTGCTTTCTCTTTCCCCCTTTTCTCTTCCTACTGGC